GGCGGGGCGGCTGCCCTTCTGCTGCGCCAGCCGGTCTTTGGTGCAGATGGACTCCTCCAGGCGCTGGCGCAGGCTGCGGATCTCCACCAGGTGCTCCTCCAGCAGGTCAGCCCCTGCCACAGCAGAAGACGGGCAGGGATGGCTGGGGCACCTGGCCCGTGCCATCCTCACTGTCCTGCCCCAAACCAGAGCCATGTCCCACAGCCATTCAGGTGCTGGCTCTCCTCCCTGTCTCCCCAGCACCCAGCCAGGATGCTCCCATGCTCCCCAACATGGACCTTACCCGTTAGCTTCTGGCTGGAGGGGTACCCTGATGGCAGGGCCCCGGAGAGCAGCTGGCTGGGAGGAGGTTGATCCCAGAGGGCACGGGTCTCGGTAGCCCCGGGGATCTCAGCCAGGCTCTGCAGCATTCCATGTTGGCAGAGTGATACTGGGGCTTTGCTGCCCTCTCTGAAGGGGCCCAGTGGGGCTGTGGGCTTTGCTGGTGCCACAGGCAGCCTCACACCTGCACACACAGGGCAAAGCAGTGAGGAGAAGGGCAATGAGGAAGGAGGAAGAATGGGGGAAACACACTCCCACCACGTGCGTTTTGCCCCCTTCTCGCTCTGTGGCAGTGCAGCCTCATAGTGATCCCCATCACTCCTACATCAAAAATAACCAAACCATCCTTTTCCCAGGGGCCCTAGGATGTGTGAGCACCCACATCCGGGGCCAGTGATGCCTCAGGGTGTGTCCATCCCACCCTCCAGGTCCTCTCTGCATGAGTACCACACATCCCAACTGTTCCCCAGCCAGATTGATGGGAACCAACCCTGAAGCTGTAGCCCTGGGTAGCAGGAGAAGGGCCAGGGCAAGACAGGCAAGGTCAGAGAGGGTGGGGGGCCATGTGGCACAGCACAGCATGGCATGCAGGGCACACAGGACCAACCCCATGCAGGAGGCTCACACTCACTTTCTCCCAGCTGCCTCCGAAGCACCTGCAGCTCCTGCTGAGCCTCAGCCAGGGAGCAGACGGGGGTCCCACAGCAGCCCAGGAGTGGGGCAGCTGAAGGAGGGGGTGGCCCAGCAGGCAGGAAGGGGGGCAGCTCAGGGGCCAGTGCAGGCAGGGGGGCACTAACGGGTTTGGACAAGGAGTCAAAATGAAGGCCTAGAGACAGGAGAGAGATGGGGAGAGACATTAGCCAGGATCCGCTTTAGTGTGGGCAGGGACCCCTCCTCCCCAGAGGCACTAGGGACCCTGGCAAGCCCCAAGCAGCCAAGCTGCCATGTCTGGAGACACTGTGAGCTGGGACACAAGGCTTGTCAAGTCCCAGCCTTGCAGGGCTGTGGTACCACAGCAGGGCTCCCCAAGATATTCCCCTGCAGCTCAAGGTGCTGCATGCTCACCCCCCAAGCTGGCACTGGGGCATGGTGCTCCAGGCACAGCCCCTGCCCAGGCCTGATGGGCACCTACTGCTGCAGGGACCCGCATGCCACAGAAGGCCTGCATGTCCCCAGCCCACTGTTGTGGCCCTGGGCACCCCACTGTACCTGTGAGATGGGCAGGCTCCTCAGGGCACTGGCTGCACTCACTGGCCACATCCCCATCGGAGCAGGGCTCCAGCCCCTCGGACACGAAGGACGTGCTGGTGGCAGAGCGGGATGACTCGGAGGGTGGGCGGCTGCTGCCTGGGGACTCACAGCGCTCCTGCAGCTTTGCTTCCAGGCTCTCAATCACCTTCTCCTTCTCCTGGAGCTCCCGACTGAGCCTGTGAAGGTGGCCCATCACCAGGGCTGGCAGGGCCAGCCAATGCCCATCCTGCAGCCAGCCCCATCCCAGGTTGCCCAGAGCCATGGGATGCCCAGCCCAAGCCTGAGGCTCCCCATTTCTGGAGCAGAGGCAGCCCCAGAATGACCACCTGTAACAGAGACCCCCCACCTCAAGACTAATGACAGCCCCTGGGGCAGAGCAGATCCCTCAGGTCCTCCCTAAGAACCAGTACCTCAGTGCCAAGAGTTCATGGCTGGTTCTATCCTCCCCATCTTGTTGATCTCCTGAAGAACCAAACCAGAGAGGAGTCAGTCAGTGTCCTCATACCCCAGGCTGCCTGTCTCCAAACAAACCCATAGCAGGATGGAACAGCACAGCTCAAAGCAGGTAGTCCACATGGCATGAAGCATCCAAATATCCCCAGCCCTTCAAAGCATCCCTTCCTCGTCCACCATGCCCCACAATGTCCCTCCCCAAAGGTACTTACTGGTGCCCAGCTTGTCACTGAGCCTATCAGCCAGCTGCCTGCCCCGGGCCAGCTGCTCCCGGAAGCCCTGGCCCAAGTAATAGTCAATGTCGGTGCCACGGAGAAGATCCTCAAAGGACCTCAGGGCATCACGCAGGTGCTGGGCCAGGCTGTGGCTCACCCCACGGCCCTCCCGCAGCGTCTGCCGCAGGTGGGACAGCTCCCGAGCCTGCGCTTGGATCAGGGAGTCGTACTTCCTAGGAGGAATCAGCAAACAGGGGGGTTCACAGGGTGGCCAGACAACTCAGCCCTGAGCGTGACAGGGATGGGGTGCCACAGAGGGGGGAGTCTGTGTCCTGTCCACCTCACTGTGCAAACACCCAGAAGCCCGGCTGCAAGGGAAAGCATGTGACAAGAAGCCACCACTCTCAGGCAGCCCCTGGAGACCCCTGCCTGGTCCCAGTTCCCACAGCCATACCCTGGCCACGTGGCAGACTGCAGCTCCTTGGGCAAGACCCCCCCCGGCTTGATCGCAGGGAGCTGTGCCTCCAGGAGGGCGACGCGGTGCACCAAGTGCTGCAGGTCACGGTGTGTCCGCAGGGCAGGTGGGCAGAGGGTGCCGTGGCCGTCGGACTGCCAGCCCTCATCCTCATCGGTGAGGCTGTGGGCCGGGGAGGCCAGGGCCGTGGGACCCGGCTGGGGTCGCTCGGCACCCGAAGTGTAGCCACTGGTGACGGAGATGGAGCGGGCACGGCGCTGCAGGCTCTGGATCACCTTGTTGGCATTAAGCAGCTGTGCCTTGAGGTCCTGGATGTGCTGGTGCAGGACCCCCACGTCTGCTGGAGCCACAGCTTTCTGGGCAGCCTTGCCTGCCCTACGCGTCCCTGAGCGGTACGGGGACCCCAGCTCCTCGCCCAGGCTGAGCTCGCTGAACACATCTGGCTCCTCACACTCTGCAGAGGGGACAGAGCGTGGTGTCACTTCTCCACGAAGGATAGACAAGATACAGGGATCCCCGGAGCCCTGGCTCTCCTTACCGGGGCTGGTGGTCTCATCCCGGTCAGCTTCAGTCTCACTCCTCCCACACGTCTCATAGCCCAGGTCCTGGAAGTCCACCTGCACTTGCTTGCTGAGCTGCTGGGCGTGGGGTTCACCTGCTGGGCAGCCCCATCAGCTCAGGGCCTCCCTCCGGGCTGGATTCACCACCCCTGCCCCATGTACAGCACAGAGCAGAGGGCACACCAGGCTTGCTGCAGACCATTCCCCCACCCGCCCCAGCCCGCCCGGGGCTTTAACTCACGGAGCAGGACGTGGTATTTCTCCAGCTGCTCAGCTTGTGCCCGCACCACAGCCTCGGAGGCGGCAAGTTTGTCCTGCAGCTCCTGGCACTGCCTTTGTCCCTGCACCACCTGGGAGCACAGCTCTGCGCCCAGCCCCGGCCAGCCCCTGCCGGGGACTGTGCCCTCCGCCTGCCAGAGGGGACACAGCCTGTCAGCTCCCCGTTTTCCTCATCCTCATCCCCGTCTCCGTCCCCTGTGCCTAGGGCACTTACATGGCTGCCATCTCCCCCGCCCTGGGTGCCAGGGCAAGGTCTCTTGGGCACATCACCCTGGGCTCGTGCCTCCAGTGCCGGGCGTTTGGCAGGCACAGCTCCCCTCTCTCCCTGGCCATCCCAGTGGGCTGGGCTGTCCCCAAGGGCACTGCGGCTCTTCCGCTGCAACCTGCGGGGCTCGGGAACAGGGGGGCTGCCCAGCCCAGCCTCCTCCTGCTCCCCGCTCTCCAGCAGCGACCT